GTAGGGAAATAGAAAACTTCAAGAATACAGGAAATGTCTGCTGTCTTAAACATATGACCCAGAAAAATGTTAACATAACGTGAATGGTTAAGAAACTTCTTCACAGGTTTCGCAGTATGTGTTTAGATACAGTACACTACATGTTCAGCAGATTGGCGTAATTTGCATATTCAGATGCAACCCTTTCTACCTCATCTATGTTGGATCTGTGGTGAGAGGAAAGGAAATAGGAGAAAAGGAAAGAATGGGGGTTTTCTTCCCTCTTGCCTAGAGGTTCTCTGGCTTCAGGTTTGTATATTTTATGTTGGTGACTGGTGTTTCTGTAGGTGTTCGATCAGTATGTGAAAACCCGAGCAGAAGAAGAGCGTAAGGAGAAGAAAAACAAAATAATGCAGGCCAAGGAGGATTTCAAGAAAATGATGGAAGAAGCAAAGATTAATCCAAGGTAGGAGCTTCTTTCTTGCTTGTATGCATAAGCTCTATTAGAATGAAGTATGTTGGGTGGCATTAGGTAGATAAACCTCTTTCAAAATGGGCAAAGAGAAGAAAAATCATCAGATATTGTTGAAATCTTCTTTTGCCTGCTTGTATACACCTAACCCATGAAAAAGTAGAACTTGTGATTTATAATAATTTACATATTTTTAGTCATTTTGAAGAAATCCCCAGCATGTTCTTTGGATTGTGCGAAAGGCCTCATGATCCACCACAAGTTTTCTTTAATAATCTTGTTTCTTTTTAAGAATATTGATAGTCTTTGAGAAGTGCTAGGGAGGTTTCTTCAGTTTGGAGGGGCTGAAGGGATGTTTTTCTGGTTACGAAGTATGTTAATAATATGATAGAATGTTCTGATTGCTTTAATATAGAAATAATTACGTACCCCTCGCATTCAGACCTACTTGCAGTGATAATAGTGAGGTGATGACAGTGAATGTACTAACATTCAAGATTTTATTGCTAGAATTGTTTGTTTCACAGCTTTCTTACATAGAGTTCATGAAATATGTGCTTATGTCACCAGATGAACTCTAAAGCATTCTCTTTCAGCATCTCTTGGCTTATCTGGCATTAATTCTTTTACAGTGAAATAACAACTCATTTGTTTCACTTCAGCTTAATTTTTTTCAGTGTCCCGTTTTGGAAATCTGGTGGAAGCCAGTGTTATGTTAACTTTTAAATTACTTCAAATCTGATTAATAACTTATTTAAAACACATATCTGCTCATTTAATAAGGGTAGCAATTTCAACAGTAGTAGGCTGGGAAGAATGGAGGCATAGAAATGTTTTAAGAAAAAGTTTATCAGTAGTAAATTTAATACATAATTCAGAAACTAACATGGACTATTATGTTAGCTTTGGTATCCTCAGCTTCCAAGATATCTCCGATGTGTCATATTGGGACTGACTCTTGCCTGATTATGGGTTGGGGTGGGAAAGAGAGTTCCAACTGAAATACTGTCTTGTTTAATCTTATCCTTTGTCTTCTGGTTTCAGTGTTTGTCTAAAGATATTGCTGTACTTCTGTGAGTGCCAGACTGGTTTTTTATCATCTGTCTCAGTCCAATATACTCAAGAGTTTGTGTTCCACTTCACTTAAACAGCTCTTGTTCTTCAGTATAGCTGTACATTCACTTTCTAATCTTTTTGAATAAGCTACCAAATTCTCTTCTTGTTTCAATTTACCCTACAGCAACAGTAGGCTGGATTTTCCAAGTCTAATTATTTCCATGCTGTGATGAAAACATTCGTATGATTATAAGTGTCTCACGTATTCTTGGGGCCAGATTTGCATCAGAGCTTGGAAAAAGCACAGTAGTGGGTTTTTTTGAGGTAAGTGGCAGTACTATATCTACTGCACAGATTGGAATCTGGCCCTGGAGGTGAGAGAACGGTCAGGGAAATGCTATGGGGATAATGGGCTGAAAGCCCAGTATTACTGCATCTGCCCATAGTGTTTAAAATATTTTCAACTCCGTGTGTTTTAAGATTAGGCTATGCAATGTTCACTGTAGGACGAAAAATTGATTCAGCCAGTGTTCTATTGTGACTAATACCAAAAGGTGATTTTCTTGGTGAACTCTTAGCATGGTTTGGCTGCAAGTGAATGAACATAAAATTTTCAGTTTCACAGCTGTGAAATACCTGGACAGACTGGTAGCTGAACTGCTAACCCACAAAAAAGAAGATTATTGTAGACAACTGAGTTTTCTCATTTCTTCTTCTTGGTTGCATTGTAATATCTCTTCCTACACCTGCGCTTTCTGCAGGTAGCTGTATTCAAACAAACCAACCAGCCCCTGTAAGTCTCTAACAATACCGCTCATGTGTGTGCCTAAACCCGACTCCTTTCTATATAGTTAATTGATCAAGCATCTCTGTAGTGAGACCATAGGATGTTGCCTTTTCTTTTTTTTTTAAATTATGCTCTGGCATGTATTCTAGCAGAAGAA